GTATATAACACAAAAAACTGTAGTCGCCACTACTGATATACAGTTGAACTTCATTATCTCGAACTTCGACATCTCGAATACCATGAGTATGCCAGTTAAAAATCCTTACCATCTTTTTCTTTATGTATTTTAACCTCGATATATGGAATCATCGGATATCTCTCTATTTTTTTTTCTCCGTCCCATCGGGTTCGAGATAACGAGGTTTGATTAATATGAACTTGCATTCATAAATGATATATTGGCCAAAAATTTTTATCATAAGTTGATAAAAATGCTATCCATCTGTGACATAATTTGTATCATAAGTGGATCTTGTATCATTAATGTTCAACATGATGTCTTTTTAATGATAAAATTTATTTATGGAAGCAAAGTTATCACGAATGCTAAGTCTCATCATATTTTTTTTTACTACAAAGGACTTGTTAAAATTTTTTTTATAAAAAGCGTCTTACTTAAATTCGTATTACAATTAATTCTCTTACCATATATTGTTCTTATTAAATTCAAATATAGGTTTTGATTTTTCAAGTGATTATGCTTGTCAATTTTTACTCTCGTGCATACATTATGCATGCAATTGTTAACTGGAAAGAAATACCGGGTATCGCCTACCCATAACCTTTATTAATAATAACCATTGCCATGGACCTGTCATGTTCTTAATTTTGAATTTACCGGGTGGGAGTAAATACAAAATTTAGAACTCCCACCCGGTAAATTCAAAGGATGACTGCACTTAACGTCGGTTTTTGGGTCTTTTTCGGTTGCCTCTGTTGCTTTTATATCTAAACCTTATCTCACTTTTGTATGTTTATGAAAGAATATTGTCAATTTGGAACCAAATTTAAATCTTAAAATGATTTTAGACTGTGATACAATAAAATGATTCAATGTTTTTTGTCCTTAGTGCTTTCCAAATATAGAGAATTTACACTTACCTGCCCTTGATTGAACATAAAATATGCATGAGAGGTGGAGCTAACATTGTAAGAATGGGTCTAAAATTAGACTAGATAAATAACAATGACATGTTGGAAATAAGGAACGTGATCACTCTTTCCCATCTCCCTCTCCATTCTATATGGCACAAATACACTACTGACAAAGGTTTCAAAACGAAATTAACAATATGAACACGTCCATGTAATTAAAGCAGATTTTATTTCAATGCCAGATGACTTAACGTGTTCGAAAACAAGTCCCAGTTAGCACAAAACATGCTACCTTACAAGTCACGTGACAGAGTTTAGTATTCACAAAGTTACCTGAGGTAAGAAATCACGTGGTGAATTATAATATTCAACATGTCACAACCCGTGGTTACAACACAGAGAGCGAATGTAAGAAGAAGCAGTTTTTTTCTCTTTTTAACCATGAGCGCATGTTTGTCTATTAATCTCCTTTTGACACATTATTATTCATGCAAATATACAACTACTGTTGAACGTAGAACAATAGACAAACATGCGCTGACTATGTATAAAGTCAGTAAAAAAGTGGGCGTCCTCATTATCGAACGGAGATTCAAAAAAAATTGTGATGGCCCCTGCCTTTGAAAACAGATTCGAACTTCGTAAATACACACTTTTATTAAACGTAATTACATAAAGTAGTAGATTGGATATTGACCATTCTTGCAATGAAAAGAAAAATGCTTGTTTTGAAAGTTTATTTTGTCGAAAATTTCGCATGTCCTTAAGTGCAGTCATCCTTTAGAACATGACAGACCTATAATTTCGAAAACAATGTTATTCCCTGCCAATTCTTAACAAATGCTAGGATCATGGATTGGTAAAGAAATAAAGAGTATATATAAGCTATGCTGGCATGGAATGGGGGTGGTGGTTAAAGACTAAATAAAATTAAGGTTTTTACATTGTCTTGACACTGTATCTTCGTCAATGTTGGAAAAAAATGTACGTTTCCACTCATTTGGTCTTTCTGTCTACAGGTATGACATTGTACGGTATGCAATATATTTCAGAAGAACCCATGACAAAGCATTTAGCTGTACGAGTAGTAAAATCATTAATGTGCTATTGATGACCAGTCACATAAATTAAAAGAACACTTCAATTTATTCAAAAATTGTTTATTCAACGAAATCTATATACACGATTGAAAACGTGATTCATTGTGAAAGGGATTGCAGGTGCATCAATTTATATTGTCTGATAACAAATAGATAAAGGAGATATTCGTGTTATATTGTGATATTATTTTATCCAAATTCTTGATATAGACCTAAAAATTTCCAGAAGAATACATTTCTCATTATTGAGAGCGCTGTTTCTGCAGGTCTGTTTACAGAATACGACTTCCAGACGTTCCCTGATTGTACACAGAATCGAAGACGCATTTATCAATATTATGTAATTCAGAAGAACCTTGGATGTACAATGCAATGGATAAATGCATCTTTTCCCCGTCAGAATACCGCCATTATGTTGAGCGCCGTCATTTCCGGTTGCAGATGAAAAGTAAACCAAGTATACAGCAAAAAGCACGCGTAGGACTAACTAGCATTAGCCTTACTCAATGCAAATATTTTCCAAACGGAATAAAGCAAAACGGCCATCCATTCTCTGATAACTCTGGAGATAGACTTTATTTGATACCGGTATTCGAATTTTTATTTTTCTGTGTGTTTGTATGCGTGTGTGTTTATGTGTGTTTTCTTTCTTTGTGCGGTTGTTCGGTTGGTTCTTTCTTTTTACTTCGTAAATTTTCCTGTTTTACTTCATAAAATAAGAAAAATGCTGTAAAGTATGATCCCTTTTGTTCATTATGTAAATTGTGAATTTTCTAAATGTTTCATCTGTTGTCCGATTTAAATCAAAAATAAATTAACGACACGTAGAAACTTCAAAAGAATTTATGTGTTGAAACATATAAGTATGGCGAAGTTTGTATGCACTATATTATATTTTATTCCGAATTGATAGATGACAAATTCAGAGATGTATGTTACTAAACACTTTGGGATGTATCCTCTGTATATGTCTTGAGAGAATCCAGTATATCTTGTTTTTCATATACCAAAATAAATGTTAAAAATTAAAACAAATTACAAAATGGTACAGATTTTGCTTGAATTTATTTCTTGAATGTTCATGGCTAAAAATTGGGTCACTGATTTGACTAGAATTGAACAAAAAATCGTACTAAGGTATATAACTGTTGGACAACCTCATCAGAAACATTTGAAGGAAATGAAGCTTGCAAACACATAGACAAACCCCGGTACCGTATTGCTAATACCATACAATGTTTAAGTTAGATACACGTCTATTAAGTAACAATGGTATTTAACTTAAGACTGTCGCAACAGGGTGCGATCGTATCCCCTTTTTTTGACGAACACTCGAAAATATCAATACAATAAATTCATTTGTTTAAAGCAATGCTGCTAAAATTTGTCTATCTAAAATGCGAAAATGACGTCAAGAACGCACCAGGACCCATCAAAATGGTATCCTTCTAAAAATAATTTTCTGGCTCTGAGGAGGAGTACTTCTCTCACACCTCCCCTGCAGCCCGCTCCCCCAACCCTTTTCCAAAATATACATTTAAGGTCAGACGATACGTTCCTCAAATATTTGTTTTGCAAATCTTCGTAATGTATGAAAAATATTCAAAATTTTAATTACCTTCTGATTTCTTAGCGAGTTTCTTCTTGTCTTAAAATAATCGAAGCACTAAAAAGTGTGATATTAGCATATTAAGTTTTTCCCAAAAGGATTATATAGGAAACGACATCCTCTCGTATCTTGCACAAATACCTGGTAAGGTACCTCAATTTTTTGTGAGTAAACTTGTTAAAGTAGCAATACTTCAATGACAAAATCTTAGAAAAAAATTATATATTATTGAGGAACGTATGGTCTGTCCTTAAAACAGCTACGTTAATAATAAATCAATGTGGAAAAATATGAAATTTTTCGATTTGATATCGAATACGGGTGTGATTATCGCTCTACAGTTAAATAAAAGAAGACTTAATCCTGTATTCTCTTACAATGGCATGAAAACCAATAACTCATCAAGAATATAACATTAAAAGTGAAGCCTTAATTTGCTTTCCGCTGTAAACTGTAGATTCTAGAAATTTTGAAGTAAATAGGTCTTATTTTTAAACTTCATCGGCATCATTTATCGGTGAATTGGTTATATTTTACGACGTATTAAAAGGGTTGTGTTCATAAAGTAAACTTTTTGGAAGGTATAATTTCTTACTCCTTAAATCTTACTGTGGTATGGGCAAGTGTATAATCTGTAGGCGATGTAGCATTTTGGCAAATGGATGCAGTCTTATTGTGAATGAATGGATTTGAAGCCATTAAAATCTACACACACTTTCTTTTCTGATCAATGCTCCGACTTCTAAAAGCCATACCCTTCTTATTTTCAATATTTTTAAATTCAATCAAGATTGAAATTTTTCTAGAAATAAAGATCCAATACAAATACTGAAACATTTTAATTTAAATTCTTTTAAGAAAAAATTTAGTAGTTGGTTAACAGAGGAAAATTCGATATTTGACCTGTTTTTCCCCTTTCTTTCTTTTAGGATTAAAGCTATATGAATTTTTAATAAAATATTTCGGATATTGCAAAATCGCATTTGATAACTAAACCATCAGATAAAACACCAAATGTGAAATCGCGTAAAAATTTCATTTCAAACTTTACGGGAAATCCATTCATATATTTTTTTTCAACTCGTAAAAATTTGCATATTGAATGTTTATCGCCTATAAAGAGATTAAAATGCGATGTCATAGTGAGAAGACCCGTGGATTTGTTGGAGAGTGAGTATCTCGCACAATTAGTAAGGTTTCAGTTGTTACAAAAACAACAGATCAGAAATCAACTATATAGAAGGACAAATCAAACACGGAGTGGTTATAGCAAAAAAAAAAAAGCCCAAAACGAAAACTTTTTTAAATACACATAAATGCTCAAATTTACATGTATAGTAAAAATATGCTAACCTTTGATGGCTCTGTAAGATATCCCTCAGGAGGACAAAACTCGGCGAGATCTATAATCAATTGAACCTCTGACGCGACAAACAAAATTGTCGCGCTCCATTTGGACTCGCGTCGTCCTCTGTCTTGAAACGGAGCGAGAGAATCGGGTAATTCATCATCAGAAAACTTTTCTTCATCTGAATACACGACCTGAAACTGCGGAATTTCCAGATTGTCGTCATATGAAGGGGATTCGTCGTTAACATTTGTTTCCTGACCATCCTCAGGGTATTCTGTTGATCCATCTTCTGATATGAACAGACCCTCACACTCCTCATCATTTTTATTTTCAGAGTCACCTAATTCATCCTCAAGGTAAAATGTAGCCTGATTTTCTTCCTGGTCATCGTTGGTCACTTGGGGATTATTTTGTATCGCGGACTCTCTGTCTCCTAGGTGTAATAAGGCCAGATTTCCCGCGTCACTTTCAATTTCATTTCGGTCACGTTGATCAGGTATGTCAACTTCTAGAGTTACGCAGAATCTTTCTTCAGAGTTTTCCGACATATGATTGTTTTAATGCCTGGAGATATATTCCACATGGAACGCTTTTTTTCAGTGGTTCTGTCCAGACAATAAACACGTCATCGATTTCAATTTTTGTCCATGTCTTCCAGAAGATTGCGATTATTTTCTATTTTCTGTTGTATTAATCTGAAAATGCTCTTTATCTCTATGTGAATATTATGTTAACTTTAAGATACATAATCTGACGTTTGATTCGGTGAAAATCGCTCTTGCAGCGCATTCCCCGCGGTTCGCCAATCACTGGAGCTTTTAACTCCCGCTGTATCTCGTTGGCAAAATTACTCCGCCACCAGAATCTACACTCGTTTTTAGAGAGGTATTTTACGTTTCTCGTTTAAATGCATTCACTCTACATATAAGCACCTCCCAGTATGACAAGAAGTTGGATATAAAATTTATTAACGCATGATATTGACATTTTTATATCATAATTATTTGGCATAATATTTAATGAAATCATCATATAAATTTTATATAATGTAACCTCCATTGAATGTCAGCGACTCAGAATAACTCTCTTTACTTTTCTCTGCGAGATTCTACATACCCATCTTAAGAACAGCTAGAATATTCCATGCATTAAATATTTGATTTCATTTGTTTGCAAAGGTTACGAAACTCTAACACAAGCAATGGTAGCATGCTAATAGCACATATAACAAGGAGCATACCAATATACGTCCAGTGAAAATTGTACCCTTTACTTTTGGATGTCTAAAGTATATTTTTGTAAGACCCTTTAATTAAAAAAAATCAATTTTTTGTAAATAGAAAACATTGTTCCAAAATTTGAGGCAAATGGAATTCTTTCTGGCGAAAAAAATAATGTTCCCCAAAACGCAACAAATTTCCCTTTTCTGTTGGTAAACCCGTATACTGAAATTATGCCAGCTTGGATCACAACTTCAGTGAGCGCAAATCATAGTCCAACAAAACTAGAGATGAATGACCTTTCTGAACTAATTCGCCTCCACGGGATGGGGATTTGCCCTTCATCGTCTGAATGGCAACGCTGGAATTGATAATGGAACTTTCAGGTTTGTTTTTTGTGCTTACAAAACACGTTTCTGAAAGACAATGGTTTTCTTTTATCTCGATGATTTTTGGTGCAATATGACCCTGCCTTGTTTCATAATTTAGAACCTTTAAGTGGATGTTTCTGCACCGTGTGTCATGTCTACGACTGCATGCGTTCATTAAACGGATTCCAAAACCAGATGCAAATTGTCCCACGGACTTTTTTCAACTCATTGTTTGAACCCATCTAAAAATAGAAATGATAAATCCAATTATTTGCAATTGATCTTAAAGATAGTACCTTTTTCCCATTTTGTGTTTGTGTGGTGGTAGGGGAGGGGGGGATTATATATATATCAATCGAACAAAATTCCCAAAGTGGTTCTTGGCATCCTTGCATAAGCATTGGTTTATTAAATAGATTGATTGATTGTTGTTTTACGTCCCTTCGAGAATTTTTCACTCATAGAGAGACGTCACCTTATACCGGTGAAGGGATTCAAATTTAGACCTTTACTCGGCACTCAGGGCCATTGAGCAGTGAGGGTTCTTTATCGTGCCAACGCCTACCGTGACAGACACGGGGCCTCGGTTTTTAAGGTTCATCCGAAGGACCCGCAACTTTCACTTCAAAGTGCCGAGCGCTTGGCGAAGGAACAGTTGCTACCTATTTTTTATCGTCTTAAGTCAGTCGCGGCAGTGATTCGAACACACGACATTCCGATCACGGAGCGATCGCTAATTAAATAAAGAAGAAAAAAGACAACTCTTTTGACATAGCGCTCGATTCTGCTTATAGTGACGTGAGGCGATGAGGGTGTTATCCCACGTTACTTATAATATTATATACATGTATCTTATTATTTAAGGTCATATTTAAGAGCTATTCTCCCTAACCTCTTAAACTTCTTTGCCACGTTTGGTCACCGATTTTGATGAAACTTTGCCATTTATTACAATTTGACCCCAGAAACATCTACCAAATAAAATTTTACTTTGAATCTTTATTGAGCCTTAATAAAGACTAGGAAGAACAAACAAACCATTCTCACAGAAACATGACACCTTATTACCACTTATGCTATCAAGAAACTATTTAGAATATATATCTCTAAGTAAGTGGTAACCATGGGTACATTTTGAATACAATTTAAATGCTGAGAAATGCTCAATATTCACTTATGATAGGTGTAACATAATCAAACTCGGTCAACAACTCAAGTTTTGGTCAATACTACTATCCTATATAAGGAAAAACATGGAAATTTAAGACTGGCAAATGTACATCGTTAGGGCCTTGTAACGCAGATAATATAAAAAATGGGATTAATTGTTATTTTGCATTGTAACCATGGAAACAACGAACCAGGTGGTTTAAAGTGATATTTTTCGTTGCCTTAGAAATTAAGTTGCCATTTAATCAAGAAACATATTATTTGACTCACCTTGAGTAGTACTTATCTGATAGAACAAAAGTGGAATATCATATATTAGTAAAATAACACTGTTGCTATGGTTACCAAGAAGGGAAAATGATTTTGTTCACTTTATAAGTTTATAGCAATATTAAACCCCATGTGATAGCTTTCAGTTAGAGATTGTTTGGTACCATAGTCAAAATTGAAAGTCGGGTTAGTTGTCCATAAATTTCAATCATAAAAGTTTTGGAAATCTACATGCAAGGGTACGTATCCAAGGAAACAAAATATTTTTCAGCTTTTTATGCATATTTTTTCTGTTTATTTCTATAGCAACGCTCTATTTAAAGAATTCAACTTGAATTTTTTGAAATGTGAAAATTAGTACAGCACCAATGCCTTTAAAAACATCAGCTATATACAGAAATGTGCTTTTCAAAAAGGAAGGATCAGATTAAAACATACAGAGCGTAAATTTTAAATTCCTTTGCGATGTTAAAACCATGGCAACCATTGCCATCCAATACGGAATATTAAATTTCGTGCTTGGTATGTGTTACAAAGATCTTTGTCTATTATTTGGTTGCATTTCAACCTATCATTACTTTTACTTTTGAGAGTATGACTTTAAAAAAAAATGAATGAATAAAATTTTTACTCTTGAACACTTTGTTTCCATAGTAACGTATATAATAGTTGATTTTCCAAATATGTTTATCATGCATTTAAAACATCAGGACTTCAACTTTTGGAAATAGTCATTGCCACTCTTGTTTGCACTGCTGAAAATGTTAACTATGGGACTCTGAACATGTTGAAAAATGCCATTTTTCAAACTTTATCTCATGTTGCCATGGTATCCATGACACATTAGCAACCAATTTTTGCCTGATTTGAGATTACAGTATCAAAGACTTTCATTATAGAGAGTTTGGAGAATTTCTGAGATTATGCGTGTCACAGCTCTTATATAAAATTTCAAGTCATTACAGAGAATACATGTAGTTCATAATACTCAAAATCCGAAGAAAGTGGGTTTGTATCATAGCATCTTGAATTGTTTTAATTAATATTCAAACGAGTTTGTTACATGATGAAATTAGACTCATGGTCTTGCATTGATTTTCAAAATAGATATGACAGTATATATGATATAGGGATATTTTGTGATAAATATATAGGTTTTGTCAGAGGAGACCTTAATTTTTGCTGAGACCAAAATGCAGAAAAATGTGTTCTCCACTACTTACCTTTATATCAGGTTGTAGATTTTGAATTTACTAGGTGAAGGTAAATGCAAACTTTATTTTGTAAATTTTGCATTTACCTCCACCAAGTAAATTCAAAATTTACAACATGATACATGAATTTTCATCCTTCCAAATCATCTGTAATTTGTCTGCCGTGCATTCTTATAACAAGAGGGTAAATTGTTTGACAGATTTACACCTATGCATGTGGCAGCAGGGCGTTACGTAATATAAGTAAAATAAATTATGCGATGCAGGTAATGTATATTGTTTAATGCAGTGTTGATGTATCTTTTCAATTGTAAGCATGCTTTGTTTCATACAGGATCGGTTTCTAGAATTTGGTCAACTATTTAAGCAGAAATTTTGTATATGTCGCGGCGCAATTTAACGCTTTAATTTTGGCACGTATTAGAACGAACCTTGAGCATTTTTGTCCTAGTGTAAGAACTTAAAATTGCTCCAACACTCCATTCCCCTTATTTTTTAATGAATGTGATATTGATAAAGTCATAGTAAAGAAATACGAAAAAATGGGGGGGGGGGGGGACTAGTATAAGTTGAATGAAATGGATATTTTGAAAAGAAATAAAATTGTGTCTTATTTCATTTTTAGGTGACAATTATGGTCTGTATCTTTGCATCTATTTTTAAAATTTTTGATAATAAAATACACTTTGCTAAATAGCTTACTTGATATTCAATTATATCTCCGATGTTTTATAACAATAGTTATAACAATATACGATAACAATAGTTACTTCCTATGTCGACTCGATATCCCAGTGAATTCGAAATTAAAGACACCCCAGAATCCGCCACATCTGTTTCATATTTGGATGTTTTACTGACAAGACACCGATATCGGCCAACCAGCAACTAAACTGTATGACAAACTAGATGACTTCTGTTTTTTCATCATCAACTTTCCTTATTTATGTTATAATTTTCCGCTATCACTAGCTGGATTTGGTGCTTAGATCTCCCAACTTATTCGATACTCAATAACATACTCTGAGTATGATCAATTTTTAAACTGAGGCAGGCTACTGACAGTTAAGTTGATGTTAAAAGGATTTCAATGACCTCGTTTAAGGGCATCATTTTGTAAATTCTATAGTCGTTATAATGACCAAATATCAAGCAAATATAATCTATCATTGGGTCGTATTTTGACTGACATATTTCATACCAATTATTTGGCCTTACAGTAAATTTCTAAAATATATAGGACTGGGTTTGACCAGTCGACAGGGATGCTTACTCATCCTAGCTAGGCAACTGATTCCACCTCTGGAATTTCCGCTGGTCTGTGTTTTATGCCCTGTTCACAGAT